TCCTCCCCCCACCTCCCCTCTCGTGGCCCCAGCACCCCTTCCAAGGTCACCAAATGGAGAGGGTCCTGGGGCAGCGGGCACAGTCTCACTGACCAGGGGGCACCAAGCAGCAGGAATTCACTCCCTCCTGGGTCTGCACGCAAAGGCCCGAGAGCCAGGTGTCCGCAGGCTGGGTCCCTGGGAGGGAGGGTCTGTCCATGGCCTCTCCCAGCCCCGGGTGTCACCAGGCGCCCTCAGTGTCACTCAGCCTGCCCCGGCTCCCCCTGTCCTCCCCTCTTCCAGCCATCGATTGAGGGCCACCCTAATCCAGGTGACCTCACCTTGAGGCCCTTAATTAACCACACCTGCAGAGACCTGGTTTCCACATAAAGTCATCGTGAGTTCCCATGCAGGTGAGTTTGGGGGCCACCCTATCACCCCCTGACTGAGGTCTCGGGCATTTGCTAGTGTGGGGTGTGAGCCTGTGCCCTCAGCAGGCAAGCCTCCCTCCAGCTCCCAACGCTCCTCCGGGCTCCAGGGGAGGTCAGTGCGGCCACGCGTGTGGGGCTGGGCCACGGAGGAGCCAGGCCTCCGGAACCCGGGAAACGCGTGGCCCCAAGGTTAATTAATTATTACATTAAATGCGCCCGCTCCGGCCCCGCAAACAGGAAAGTATTAATCACCCATTTCCTCGGAGTGACAGGTCCATTTCCCTAAATTCCTCCGCTGCTGACTTAACCAAATGATCGTCTTCCGGCTGCTGCCACTTCCCGCCAAGCCACAGCTCATGAATATTCTGGCGTCGCAATCTGCTTTATAAAAGAACAGACTTATTATTTCATTTTTAAGTTTGCTGTCAGGCGTAGGAATTTTCCAGGCCCCCAAATAATGGGGCGCGGTGACTGTCCTAGTCGGCCAGACCATTCCCAGGAGAGCCAGCCCTGCCCTGCGGGGCCCGGGTGGGGTGCCAGGCCTTCCTGCCCTGGCCCGTGGGAAACGGAACGCTGCTGAGTGGGCAGCCAGTGTGCCCTGCCCAGCCTGGGCGCCTCAGGTTCTGAGCAGGTCCGCCCTGGCTCCTGCTTCTGGGCAGCCCCTCCGTGGGCTGGGCCACAGTCTCACCACCGCAGCACAAGCCCCCCCCCCCCCCGTACCCATCGGTGAGCCCACCCCGGCGCCCCTCAGCCAGGGTTGAGTTTGGGGTCCTCTTTATGCCCCCAGATCAGGCCCTGATTGGGACAGGGGTCAGAACCCCCTTCATTCTCCCCGACAGGTTCATTCTGGCACCCCAGCCCCTTAATACGGGGCACGTGGGAGAACAGGCAGCTGCCCAGTTTTTGACTGACTGACGGAATGAATGAATGAATGAATGACTGGATGAATGAATGAATGAATGAAAACGGAGGGAGTGACAGGCTCACCTGCGTCGATGGGCATCTGCACAGCCTGGCCAGGGAGTCCCGTCGTCCCGCCTCACTCGGTGAAGATGGGATTCGGTGTCCAGGGGCCCACAGTGCCCTCTGCTGGCAGCCGCCGTGTGGCAGCCCAGTGGCCGGGCCGGGACTGACCAGTGGCTCTCTGCGGTTGGGCCCTCTGAGCACTCAGCCAGCCTGCCCTCCCCCTCGCCACTCGAGTGAGCGCACCCAGCGTGGGAAGTGCGTGCGGGTCGGTGACCAGGTGACCACAGGGGCACCTGTAGCCATTGGTGACCCCGGGAGGAAATGGCTGACCCAGGACCAGAGGAGTTCCCTACCCTTCTCCGGGGTGGCCATGCCGACAGTCCAGGGGCCGGGCCTCCTGAGGCCGGGATTCGGAGCAGCGTGCTCCCTGCTGAAATGGCATCTGTGCAGCTTGAAGCGAGTTGTCACAGCGACAGCGTCAGCCCTTTCCGGAGGGTCTCAGGGGGCGGAGCTGGCTCATGCAGGAGGCCTGCCCCCCTCAATGCCAGAGCGCCCCCTTGCCTCCCTGTGACGAGAACAAGGAGCTATCCCGGGAGCCGGGGCCACCCCACCCCAGGTGAGAATGTAAGGGGGTCTCGGACAGGGGAGCACCGGTGGGACCCCCGGCCTCCCCGCCCTGGGCTGCCTCACCTGCGGCCCTGCCTGGGCAGGAATGGGCACCTCTGTGGCCTGGAAGACCCAGTGTCTGCGGGGGGAGTGAAGAAGCCCAGACTTTTATAATTTTATTAACCAATAAATTCAATACATTTTTTATAAAAGAAGCCCAGAGAGCCTGGCCGGTGTGGCTCAGTGGTTGAGCGTCGACTTATGAACCAGGAAGTCAGGGTTCGATTCTCGGTCAGGGCACATGCCTGGGTTGCAGGCTCGATCCCCAGCAGGGAGCGTGCAGGAGGCAGCCGGTCCATGATTCTCTCTCATCACCGATGTTTTTCTCTCTCTCCCTCTCCCTTCCCCTCTGAAATCAATAAAAATATATTTATAAGATATAAATATTTTATTTATAAAATAAAAATATATTTTAAAAAAAGAAGAAGAAGAAAGGCCCAGCCCGGGCTGCTCAGGGCTGCCCGCCCAGAGGTCCCGCCGGCAGCAGGTGCGGCCGCCTCTCTCCGAGGTGCTGAAACACCTGCCACCTCCGGCTCCTCCCTCCCACCACTCCGCCCGCCCCCACTCTCCACCTCTTCGTCTGCTTTTTATTTTTACGTCTGAACGTGAGGTGCTGGCCTGGCCAGCGCTGCTCAGTGATGCGTGTCCGCCGCTCACCACGCGTCTTGGGTTCAATTCCCGGTCCAGGGCGTGCACCGGGGCTGCCGGCTCGCCCCCACCCCTGGCCATGGCGTATGCGGGAGGCAGCCTCGTGATGTGTCTCTCACATCGATGTCTCTCTCCCTCCCCCTTCCTCCCTCCCTTCCACTCTCTCGGAAAAAGAGGGTGAGGAATAACAAAAGGAGATTGTGGTGCAACATCCGTAACACGAGAGTGACCCACGTAACCACGTCCAGCGCACGGCTCAGCGGCTTCACCGACGTCCACCCTGCTGCGCGGCCACCGCCTCCTCTCCAGGACCCTCCGTCGTCCCACACTGGCTCTGCCCCACAAGCACCCCCCCCATCCGCCCCCCTCTCCTTCCCGTCTGTGGGTCTGACTCCTCCAGGGTCCTCCCACGAGTGGGATCCCACAGGATGGTCCGTGTGACTGCGTCTTCCACTCGGCATGACGCCTGCGCGTCTCGCTCCTGGTGTGGCCGCATCCAGATGTCCTTCCTGCTCAGGCCGGAGAGCACTCCCTCGCGTGCAGAGGCCGCATTTGGCTCACCTGTTCCTGACAGGGGACACGGGGTGTTTGTGCATTTGGCTTGTGGCTCACGCTGTGGGCGTGGCTGTGCGAATGTCGCCTCAAGACCCACTTTCAGTTCTCAGGGGGGCGGGGCGGGGTGTACTCAGAAGTGGGGTTGCTGGGTCCTGTGCCCATTCTATGTTCAATATTTCGGGGACCGCCACAAGGCTGCCCATTTTCCCTTCCCCCATCGTGGCCCGGGCACCCCAGTTCCTCCGCATCCTCACGGACAGATGTTGTTTTCAGTGTGTCTGATGGTAGCGTCCCACGGGGGTGTCCCCATCTCCTGTTTTTGTCGTTAATCCTCACCTGAGGGTATTTTCCATTGATTGTTAGAGAGAGTGGACGAGACAGGGAAGGACAGAGAGAAACATCCATGTGAGAGAAACGCATCGATGGGTTGCCTCCGGCATGCGCCCGACCAGGGCCTGGGCTGGGGAGGAGCCTGCAGCCAAGGTGTGTGCCGCTGACCGGAATCCAACACAGGACCCTCCAGTCCACAAGCCGATGCTCTAGCCACTGAGCCACACCGGCCAGGGCCCCATCTTCTTTAGCGCCCGGTGATGTCGCGTTGTGTGTTATCTTGTGTTTGTTCAGGGTGGGCAGGTGGGGGTGAGAGCCCACGGGGGTGGGTCCGAGTCCTCCCCTGGACGCTCACCGGCCACACGACCTTCGACTGTCAGGACAAGGCGACAGGGGAGTCAGGAGAAGCCCAGTGAGGCCATGAGACCAGGCGGCGCGGGCACTGCGGTGGCTGACGGGAAGGTGGCGGATTGAGGCGGCCTGGCCTGTGGAGATCGCTCACACGGTGGCTGACGAGCAGGGAGGCCCCGAGATGGGCAGTGCCCCCCATCCACCTGCCGTTCCCTGGAGACAGCACATGGGGCCCAGGAGCCGGGCCATCGGTGGGAGCTGGTACCGTGGGGGCAGCCGGCGGGAGTCGAGGCAGCGACATGGGAGGGAGGCCTCGGTCACCCACCCCGTCACCCGCCCTGCGCAAGGCCGGTCCGAGGCGATGACCTCATGCCCAGCTCGAGCTAATGGCCCTGGAGAGGCACCAAAGAGCTGATGTTCGGGCGCCTGAGGCAGGAAGCCTCCGGCACCGGTTCTGGGAACACGAGACAGTTAAGCGACTTCCTTGCTGAATATTTCATGATTTACATTAATGGCTTTCTGGTGTTTTTCATAACAAAACTCTCCACATGGTGACGGGTTAAAATGTGGGTGTTCCGGCCACCCTCCCTCCAAACGCCCGTCCTCCCGGAGCGCCAGACCCACGCGCCCCTCGATCGCCAGGTCTCCTCCCAGGCCTGTGGGACCCTCGTGTCCCAGACGAGGCCCCTCCTCCGGACAGGAGCCTCCCACCTGTGCATCCGGTCCTGCAGCCGCAGGGGCTTGGACACAGGGAGGGTGGGGGACAGGGGCCTGGGGCTGGGGCTGGGAGGACCCACACAGGCCCTGGGCTCAGCGTCCAGTCAGGAGGCCATGACTTGCCCAAGGACATGTCTTACCCGACTCCCCAGGAGAGTATGTAACTATGTAGATGTTGTTTAAATATGTTTTTATTGATTTCAGAGAGAGGAGGGGAGAGGGAGAGAGAGAAACATCAGTGATGAGAGAATCATTGCTCAACTGCCTCCTGCACGCCCACACTGGGGATCGAGCCCACAACCCGGGCCTGTGCCCTGACCGGGAATCGAACTGTGACCTCCTGGTTCATAGGTCGATGCTCAACCACTGAGCCACCCCAGCCAGGCCCCCCCAAGACATTTTCGACCAGGTTTTCATTGATCACCTCATCCAGTCGGTTCCCAGGAGGGTGCCCCCTTCAAGGAGGTGTGCACCCCAGACACCACAGGGGGGCTGTCCTGGGCCCTCGGATCCACCGTGGCCTCCAGCCCCCGCCCGACCCCTCCGGACCCCGGGACCTGGTACATTTTGGGGACCCAGGCTGCCTGGAGCCCCCCACCCCCAGCCCTGAGGGAGCACGTGCCTCAGCCGTCTCCCCTTCTCCTGGGGCTGAGAGTGCAGCCGGCTCACAGGAGCCCGTCAGCCCGGAGCCAGGCGTTCCTCCTGTTTCGTGGGGGAGGACGGAGGGTCCCTCCTGGTCCCACGGCCGTGGCCATCGGGGAGTGGAGGCAGGATGAGTGCCCAGGCCACTCGGCCCTCCTCCCGGGGTGTCCAGTCTCTGGGCCACCTGGCCAGTGGGGGAGGCCCTGGGGAGCAGAGTGCAGGCACCACCGGGCTGTGCCCCGCCGTCTCTCACGTGGTCACCCCTCCCACCTGGGGCGCGAGGCCGACTGACTCGGAAAAACAGAGGCACAGAGATGGGGGTGCTGCCCGTCGGGCGGCTTCTAGAAATTAACCGGCTCCCCCTTGCACCCCCACCAGCAAGACCAGAGCTTTCAGGGCGGGGCGGGATTCTGAGGGGCCCCTCATCCAGCCGATTCTGCTCTGGGGGACCTCCCCAGGCCACGGGACTAAGGGGGGGCTGCCGGGGAGCTCACAGCCACCCCTCCCCCACCTGCGCGCCCCTCCCCCAGCCTGGCATCGCTGGACCGGCCCTGAGCCTGGCACAGGCCCCGCATTCAGATCGGGCCCCTGCCAAGGAGGTGGTGGGAACACGGCGTTCCCTGGGGCCCGGCCAGACGGCCGCCGCCCCCTCCTCCTCCCAGGGCACTTGCAGCCGCAGCAGCCGGTTCGCGGGCACGGCCCCCCCAGACACACTGTCCCAGCCCAGGCCCCGGACCTCTGGCCTGGAGGCGAAAGAAGCAATGAAGAGGGTCCCGCCCACCCTGGGGCTGGGGTGCAGGAGCCCCCAGGCATCATCCTGGCCCCGCGGCCCGCCAGGCGGGACTGGGCCGTGCTCACCCCCCATCCTCGGTCCAGCGGCCCTGGCCTCCGGCCTGACTCAGGTGTGATGCTGGCTCTGCCCCCTCCCCGCCTCTCAGGAGACACCTGTCACTCTGTGTCCAGTACCGAGCTCAGGGTGTGCCGTCCCTGGCACGTCCATGGCTGTCCACAAGCAACCCAGCACGGGGGAGCTGCGTGCCGGCCCTCCCTGGAGGCCACGCCAGCTCTGAGCCCGGCACCTGCCCCTTCCACCTGCCCTCCTCCGCGTTCCCAGCCCCCTGCACGTCCAGGCTGGCTCCTTCCCGCCTCCTCACACGGACACAGGGCCTTCCCCACGGCCCCTCCTCCAGGAGGCCTCCTCAGATTGCCCCTCCAGCACCTCCCGGCGGAGCTGCACCTGGTGACCTTCCAGGGCCCGGGGGTCGGAGCCAGGCCTGAAGGTGGCGTGAGGACAAGGGGTGGGGCTTGTCCGGGGCCACAGACTCAGCCTGGCAGGGGTGGTCCCTGACCACCGGCTTGCAGGGGCCCTGGACGCAGGGTCAGTGGGTCCCCCTCTGTAGGGAGGCTCCGGGGTGGGGATTGGGAAGCCCCTGCCCAAGTGAGCGGCTCTGGGGGGAGGGCCTTGTCATCCCCAGGGCAGGTTGGGGGGGGTGGCCTGGACAGGAAGGGGCCTGGGTGTCGGAGGAATGGCGGATGCTGCCTCGGCCGCGCGGAGTATGAACCGTGGTCT